CCTCCAACTCTACTCTTCTATGTAGGGGAGTAATTGCACCCCCCTCACCTGCTAACATTTCCTTGCTCCAAGCTGCTCTCGAAGGGAAGCCTCTGCACTGCAGTAATACAGGTGAGGGGTCACTGGAGTCTAGATTGCTGAAGCCAGCCTTCCTTCTGCTGTCCAGGTAGGGCCATAGCTGTGCCCCCAGCCAGAACTGGTTGGAGGCACTCCAAGCTGCTGAAGCACCCCGGGCCTCAAGTGGCAAAGGCAGATCAAGGAGCTCCCCCAGGCGTGCCCAAGCCTGAACTCTTGCCTGCTCCTTCAGGAGTGAAAGCTCATCTGGAGCAGGCCGAAGTTCCACCGTCCCATCAGAAGGACTGGCCCCTAACAGCACCCCAGTCTCATCCGGCTTGAGCATCAGTCCTCATCCAGTCCAGTGCTGCAGCCTGGCAAAGGTTTGGCACATCCGCAGTCTCTCCTGATGACGGTAAAAAGCAGGTAAAGGACTGCGTGACTTCAGTGCACCACAAAACTCCAGGTCACCCCATGCAGCAGCTTCTTTTAAATAATATGGGTGACAAGAGCAGCCCCTGAGATGCCTCATGCTGGAGAGTCCATGGGAACAAACCATGTCCCCCAAGCGCTCCATTGGAGCTGGCTGTTTGAGCAGGTGTGGTGGGCGTGCCGTAAGTGCAGCCAGCTGGAGCTGGGGTCAGACTAGATGGCCCGGGAGGCCCCTTCTGACTTGCTCTGCTTCTGTTTCTATGAGTCACAACAGTGTGGTGCTCCACACTCCCAACTTAGACAGTTGCCTCGGAATACCATGGCCGATGCTGTTGAAGGCCATGGAGAGGCCCAGGAGTACCAACAGGGTCACACTCCCCCATCCCTCTCCCAGCAAAGAACATCATACAGGGCAAACAAAGCCATTTCTGTGCCGAAGCCAGGCCCGAACCCCAACTGAAGTGGGTCCAGACAATCTCATCCAAGAGGCTGTAGCTGTTTGCTCCCCCCGCCGCTCAAGTGCTCCCCTAAAAAGGAACATCTGCCACCAGCCCACAATTGACGGCAGTTTCTTCAGGAGGGGCCCCACCATGACCTGCTGCAGTTGACATGGAGCCGCTCTGCCAAGAGGCATTACTCGCCTCTCTGGAACTATTTAATTAGTTTACTATTTGTCAACTCCTTAAACAGGTCTTATGATCCTATTTGTCTAATTTATTGTAGCTTTTTAATATTTGTTTAATTTTTTCATGGTAATTTTTAATGATATTTTTAAGGAGCTAAGTCTATTTTATATTTCTATGCAATGTTTCTAGTAGTCTCTATGGATGTTGACAGAGTCCGTTGTTATCTTCTGAGAGGCAGAGCATGCCTTTTAAAGATGCACACGTGAGGAGTGGGGCTGGTCCTCCCTCGCCAGGTGTGCCGGGACCAAGCAGCTGCCAGCAAGGCTGCGAAGCGTAAACGGCAGGGGCATCTGTGGTGGGGCTCATGTACAGTGCAGGGCACTATCTGCTTCCTTATCAGGGGCATCTGCTTCCCAGGACAAATACCTTGATTCATCATGGAGGGGACAACACTGTCCAAATCCTGAAAACAAAAACCAAGTCTCCAGGTCATACGAGAATGGCTTGAATTTACAGAAGAGACCAAGGAGCCCTCTGTGTGAAAGGCAGTTGAGGAGCCATGGAAAGTGGTGGGGCTTCTGTTCTGATCGTGCTGGGGGCAGCACAGAACCCCCCGAGGTGTCCCTGGAGAGTCCTGCAGAGACGGGCCATATTCCAGCGCTGCAGTGGACCCTTTCCTGGCACAGGCCTTTCCTGAAGAATCTAGTGGGAGCAGCTGTTTTTCTCTACAGAACGTAGGAAGGTAGCGGCAAACTTTCAGCCCACTTGGACCCCTCTACCATCTGCAAATGGATGGTGGTGGGCCCCCTAACAGAATGCCATTCACTGCAACTAGACCCCTGGAAAATTGTGTGTGGGGGTGTGCACAGCAGAGCTTGCCTCTGCTGATCCTGGCTGCCAGAGGGTCCCCTGGCCCCCGTCCCATCTCCTGGTGCAGCGGGGTTCCTTCAGGTAGCATTATGGCCCGAGGGGACACAGCAGGGGGCTTGTCGCTGGCTCTCACAAAGCCGACCGTGCAGAGTGCGCTGAGGGTGTTGGTGCGCGATGCTAGGCACCCCTGGGGGAGCCTCTGTGCCAGTGCACCCTCCACGGGAACTTCTCCACGCTTCCTGCGCCATGCAGCACCATGGGCTGGTGACCCAAAGATTGTCCTGCCCTATTATTTGGGAGGAGCAGAAAGGCCCCGCCTCCGTGAGTGTCTCCCCCCACCCCCCACTTTGTGTAGGGCAGCTGTGCAGTGAGCCAAGCAGCCCCGATCCAAAGAGCCTCTTAGCACGGACCTCCAAGAGAGAGCCAGGCACAGCCGAGATGCCAAAGGAGGATTCTGCCCTCGGAGATCAGTGCTCTGGCAGGGACTGCTCTGCCAGGAGGGGCAACACAGTGGCAAGGCGCCCCCCCCCCCTCGCTGCCCTCTTGCCGAGGGCTGCCGCTGGAGCAGCTTTGGCACTGCCTCGGCAAGGGCGCCTTCTCCCCAGCACAGCACCGACTGGGGATGTGTGTGTATAAATTGTGGTGATCTGCTTAGACTCGTTGTGGCAGAACAGAAGCTGCGTGACTGAAAGGGGGCCGCAGCCTCACTGCCCTCTGGCAGCTTGCTCCGCTCCTGCTTGCTCAGTGGGGCACCTGCTCGGCAGTGAGGGGGGCCCACCCAAGCAGTGGCAGCCCTTCCCTGCCCAAGACCACGGAAGCAAGGGCTGGGGGCGCCTGGGGGTGAGGGGTTTGCGGAAGGGGCTGCCCAAGGAATCCCCAGAACCAGAAAACATTCCTCCCCGGGAAGTCTGCTGAATTGCAAGCTTCTTCCCAAATATTAGCTTTTAGTTCCCAAAGATAAGCAGTAGGCTATTTTGCATGGCATGTTTGCTTGCACTGCGAGGAGAGTGTTTGTGGCACAGGCAGGAACGTGTCTGGCTTCTCCACGGGTTCCACAAGGGAGGGGGCAGAGGACTGGTCCCCCAGCCCCAGCCCCCCTCCCCCGCTGGCTTGGGCTTCCTGCGCAGAATGCTGGCCCTCAGTCGAGAGTGGCAGGACCACTCCTCGTCTTGCCCCCCGGCGCTGCAGCGGGTGAGGGAACCCACAGATGCCCCACTGAGGGCAGGGAGGCTCAGCGGAGCAAGAATCGGTTCAGAGAAGCGGCAGAAGCTGAACTCTGGGGCAGATGCTAGCACAAAATAAAGTCACGTGGCAGGGACAGGAATGTTTTTAATGGCAGTGGCATAATTGACATTTCAACATTCAAATTGTGTTTAAAATCAGTTTTATGGTTCTGGAAAATAGAAATAAAACCCTATTAAAAATTAGGAGGAAGCCAAAAAGAAGTCGATTGACACCAACACATTCTGTGTACACAGGGAGACAGAAAGCTACTAAAAACCGGGTGCAGAATCAGCCCGCAGCTAGCCGCATGGGCTCCCATGGCCACTGGAAGTGGAAGCAGCCTGCAAGCAAATCGCCCAGTGCATGACCGCCTGCAGAAGGCGTCTCCGGACCTTCTTCCACACCACGTCCTGTGGTTCCCTGGCTCTTACCGCCGATCTCCAAGGGAAGTCCAGGTGCCCTCCTTGTTCTGCTGCTCTGCAAGTTGTCTCCGACTTAGGGCAACCCCACGAGCACACCAGAGTGTCTGTTGCGAGTCCTCCAGAGGGCCCGTCCTTGGCAGGCCGCTGGAGTTCTTGCAGACCCCTCATTCTAAGCCTCTGGGTGGCTTTGGCAGGACTTGGCCTCAAAATACCCAGGCTCCTGGCCCTCTGAAGCAAGGCCCCCACCCCTGCGATTCTCCCCCACCGGCCCTGTCCATGGAGCTCCCTTCCACGCATGGGTCCTTGTCGGGGTGCCAGCAGCACACCCACCCCAGGCCTCGTAACATCGCTGGGAGGCCCCGCCGGCAGTAGGTGCCACGGAGAACATGAGGGGGCGAGCGAGCGCGCGAGGGAGCAACGCCTGGCCGGGGAAGCAGAGCAGCCAGCTGGCAGAGGACCTGCCTCCTCCGGGGGGGGGGGGGGGGGGGCGGGCAGCAAGCGGTGGAGCAGGTTTGCCCAGCAGTTGCTGTGAGGGCGCCAGGAGATGTTCCAGGACAAGGAAACGGGGAAGCCTGGAAGGATGCCCGAGGGCTCGAACCAGCAGCGGACATCACTGGCAGGGCAGTGTCAGGTGCTCGGGCTGGTGGGCGGGAGCTGCACAGCAGCCTGGGGGCCCCCAGACAGACTGCATTCCCAAGAGGGCTCCCTGCACACACGCCTTGCTTGCCCCCCCACCCCCGCAGCCAGCTCCGTGTGACCTGAAGCCGCCAGCCCCCGTGGCTGGCAGGCCAGGCCCGGCTGGGGAGAGACTGCCCCGTGCGGCCTGGGCAGGCGACTCCGCCCCCTTGCGGGAGCCTGGAGGACTGGTGGCTGGCAGACGAGCCCCCTCGCGCCAGGCAGCTCCACACTCAAGAGCCAGCATAGCAAAAGCCTTCACTTGGTTATTGGCCCAACCCCCAAATCTGTCTCTAAGCAGTCCCAGAAAACAAGTGAGGGGGGCCAGCGAAACCTCCTTGTTTCGCACTCCTTCAGCTCTCCAGGGACACCTTTGCACCACAACTGGGCGCCACTGGCTGTGGTGATGCACAGCGTAATGGAAAGGCTGCCATTTCCCCTTGCCAAGGCTTCTGAGGTCACGAGGGAGGGAGGGTGTGCCAAAGACAACACTGGCTTGTTTGCTTTGCTTGCTGAAACCTGACACGCCAGTCTTTTCCTGCCTCAGGAGCTCTCCTCCAGGGTATGAGGTCTTCCGGTCCATCCTGGCCCCCATCAGGATGGGCAGGACAGGTGGCAGCTCTGTGTCCTGCCACAACCCAGGCAGCCAGCGGGGAAGGGCAGGCTTCGGTCCGCCAGGGCCCACCGCTCAAGGGCATCAGGGCACGCCAGAGGCTTCCAAGGCACAGGTCTCCGCGTGAGCACAGGGCCTGAGGAGTCCCTGGCTGAGGGGCCCTGTTCTCCCTGAGGCACGGGGGAAGCCCCTGCTGTTGCAGGCATGGGCGGCGTGCCCGTTCCCTTCCCCCTCCAGGGCACTGCTGCTCCACGGCCACGGCGGGACCGCTTCGGTTGCCCCCGGGTCGCTCTCGCTGTGGACGCCCCCCAGCTCCCCAGCGGCGCAGCAGTTCGGGGCACTCTCGACATCGCCACTGTGAGCAGAGGCCTTCTGGCTGGCCGCCATCGGCTCGAACGGCTCCTTTCTGCCCAGGACGTGCCGCCCAATGATCTTGCGGAAGGTGTGCCGGAACTCCCTGATCCTGTACGCGTAGATCAGCGGGTTCACCACGGAGTTGGCGTGGGACAGGAGGATGGCCAGGTACATCAGCCAGGGGGGCGGGTGGCCGCAGCCCTCGCAGAAGTGGGTGTAGCAGTTGACCGTGTGCAGTGGGAGCCAGCAGAAGGCGAACAGCCCCACGATGATGGCCAAGGACTTGGCCGCGTGGACCTCCCTCTGCAGGACGGAGCGGGACCGCTCGCCGTGCACCATCTTGTTCTCGATCTGCTTCAGCTGCCGCCGGGCCGCCATGAAGATCTTCAGGTAGATGCCGAGCATGAGGAGGAGCGGGGTGAGCACGCACGCGAAGAAGTTGTAGTAGACCATGTACTCCATGGGGACCACGGCCTCAAACAGGCAGGGCACCAGCGGCGAGCTGCAGCTGTTGGCGGGCGCGCCGAGGCCGCCGGGTTGCGCCCCGGCCCCCGAGGAGGGCCCGTGCCAGCCCAGCATCGGGGTGAGGCCGATGGCGAAGGACAAGACCCAGCAAATGGCTATGATGCCCTTCGCCCGCAAACTGGTCACCAGCGCATTGTACCTGGAGAGAGAATCAAAGGCAAGGCGAGTCAGCACGCGAAGTCAGAGTGCCACTCGTACTCCAAAGCGGAGAGATGTGTACAGAACAAAGAGAACAGGCATTTGCTGTGCGGTCCTGCCCTGGAGCACTGCAAAACTGCATCTCAGGCTGCCCAGCACAGACGCTCTGTGGACAGGCACCTCGGTGTCGACCGCCCTCTCTGCAGTGCCTGTGTCAGTTTTGCAGGTGTCAATTTGCCCTGGACTCGCCAAAGCAAGCTGGAAACGGTCCCTCAAGGAAGATGCAATTGAGATCTGTGCCAAATTGACCCATTTCTTTATGGCCTCCCTGCACGGAAGGGCAGGCTGAAAAACACCCATTTGTCTGTGTTCGTTGGAGAAAGAACCATCCCCACTCTTACGTGCTATTCAAATCCTGCCCAGAGGAGCAGACAAGTTCATGGAGTCTACACAGAGAACAGGGTTTGCTTGTTTAACACAGCTGCCTTTAAACCAGGCCTGTCAGATGGCAAATCTCGGGATGTTTTGGACTTTCATGCTCGGAAGTCCTGCCACTGGGGCTCCTGGGAGCTGGTCCAAAAGGCCTGTGGCGCTCCCTTCTGGCCGCTCCCGCTTTGAACGAAGCAGCCCAGGGCACGGGCAGTCCCAGCTCCAGGCCAGGCATCCACTCTTGTTTCCACGCCAAGATATTTAGCAAAAAAATCAAGCAGAGAAGGCCGGAGAAACAGCTGGTTGCTTCAAACAAATATACTGAATTGCCAGACCAGCTAACTGACCTGACATGCAGGATCATGAAAGGGAGCCAGGAGAGCGTTCCTGGCGGAGGGTGGGCTGCAGGGCCTCCAGAGACATTTGCCTGTCCAGCATCCCACAGGATAAAGAGAGGATTCCGCAAGGCAGACTTTCCTGCTGGCCCGGCTGCTTGAAGAAAGGGGGTGCCAGCTGGCCAGTCTTCGCCTGGAAGCAGCCGCTTCTGCATCCCAGGCAACCTGCACACGGACCAGAACAGAGCCGAGCCAAACCACAGTGCCGAGTGGTGGGAGTGTGCAGGTCCTTCCCCAGGGGCTTCTCCGAAAGAAGGCAGCGGGGGAGGGAGCCACCACAAGGCCTCAGGGCCCTCACAGAAGCACCATCTCTGCCCGCCCATCCAGGAATGGCCCAGCCTGTGGAGCCCGTGGGGTGAAGGCGCAGAGGGACTCTGCAGAGAGGTCCTCCTGGGGGTACAAGTGGATCAGCAACTGCCCCACACATGCCGGAGCCATGGGATGTGGAGGGCACTGGAGCCAGGAGCACCTTGGGAGGGCTCACCTTCCGCTCACAGTGGGAGACACCCGGGGTAGACTGGTCTGCAGGGAGAGGCCTGAGAGGGCCGCGCACCAGGCAGGCCGGGGTTCCTTCGGCAGCGGGTTCCGCACAGGGGCTTGCTCTGTCAAGGCAATTATTCTCACTTTGGCAGAGCAGTAACTTTCCAGTAAATATCAGCTTGCATCATTTTTTGATCTTTCTCTTGCATTTTGGCTTGACCACTCTGCACATGGGCGCATGCGTAATTCAATACCAACCAGCAAGGAAATCAGCCCTTTGAGTTAACTTCTGCAAAAGTCTTCTTTTAAGAGCACAGTCACAAACAAAACTGATTTTATTAGATCAGTAATGTGCAATTCCACTCATGCAGTGCATTATTAAGAGGAGCAATAATTGTTTCATTTCTGTACAGCCCAATAGCCAGAAGTCAATAAAAAGTGTAAAATTTCAATATAAACAGAATTTAAACTAATCTGAACAGCACATTTCTGCAACTGAATATTGAAAAATGATTTTTGCATGCAATGTGTGGAAAAAACTCCAATGAACCTAAAAGCAAGATTCCGTAAACACAAATCTGTAATACTTATCTGTAAATGGGGCAGCCTGTTGCAGGAAAACAAATGCCTGACTTTCAGTTGCTTCTAACTAAATCAAGAAAGGCCACCAACATGCTTGAGAGGAAGGAAAACATTTGGATCTAGAGATTCAAGACTCCTAGTCCATGTGCCTCAGCTTGGGGACAACGTGTGATGTGGCAGTCAGAGGGCAGGCTCGCGTTCCTTGGCGACCTGGATGTTGGTCCCTGCTTGGCCATGAAGCCACTGGGTGGCTGTGGGCTAGTCATGGACTCTCCGCCTGGCCCACCTCATACGGTTGCGGCGAGTGTAACACAGATTGGAAGAGAACCGAGTGAGCTGCCCCGGGTTCCTCTCACAAGAGGAATCCTCATCATCACCACAGAATAGCACCAGCTTACACACCTCACACCACTCACACCTCTGTTCCCCTATCTAGACATTTTCGTCTCCCAGCATTACAGAAGAGCACTGCTGAGAGCCCTCCAGCAGCAGACCCAGTAAGGAGGGCAGAAGCATTTGCGGTATGATCCGATGGTCTCCTGATGACACCTGGGAGACTGCAGGAGGTTTTGGCATTCAGTCACCAAGACCCGCCTGTATTGCTGTTCGGACCCGTTAAGCTTGAGCCACCCCCGCACTGACCCCTCACAGCTGGCATGGAACTCTGTTTGCACATGCAGTGCGATGCGGTGGCCAAGAGGGCGAGCGCCACCCTTGGCTGCACAGCCAGAAGCGTGGCTTCTATATCAAGAGAGGTATTACTGCCACTCTACATGACTCTGGTGTGCCCGCAACTGGAGTATTGTGTTCAGTTCTGGGCTCCACATTACAGAAAGTAGATAGCCAGGTTGGAGTCAGTGCAGCCTAGGGCCACAAGGTTGGTGGCTGGTTTGCAGGGGATGCCGTATGAGGCGAGACTGAGGGAACTGGGTCTCTTCAGCCGGGAGAAGAGGAGACTCAGAGGGGATCTGGCGACATACAGGTACGTGAGGGGGTGTCACACGGAGGGGGGTCGAGACCTGTTCTCCCCTGCAGAGGAAGGCAGGACACGCTCCAATGGAGCAAAGCTCAGGGAACCCAGGTTCCATTTATTTATTTTTCGATTCATATCCTGCCTTTTTCCTACAAAGGGCTCAAGGCAGCTTACATCATTCTCCTCCTCCATCTTATCCCCACAACAACAACCCTGTGAGGTAGGTTGGGCTGAGAGTCTGCGACTGGCCCAGAGTCACCCAGTTGGCTCCATGGCTGAGCGGGGACTAGAACCCAGGTCACCTCAGTCCCAGTCCCAGCTCTTAGCCACTGCTCCACACTGGCTCTCCAAGAAGCCAGGAAGCATTTCCTGACAGTCAGGACCCTGAGGGTATGGAATGGGCTCCCATGGGAAGTGGTTGAGGCCCCACTGGTGAGAGTGTTCAAAGATAGGCTAGACATGCACATGGTAGGTATGTCATGAGTGGAGCCACCTGGAGCCGGGGGTCAGACTAGATGGCCCAGGAGACCCCTTCTAACTCACTATGTTTCTGTTTCTATGTTTTCAGGACTGACACCTGCAAATTGCTCCAGGCCTTCCAAGAAGAAGAAGATGCTTGGCCTCAAATCTTCAGGAAACCAAACTGGGGTGGGATCAAGGTGTATTTGCAGAGTGTGTGTGATCTTCCGACGGTTGGAGTGGAGAAGAACTTCGCCACAAGCTACTCCCAACTGCTGGAAGGCAGGACTAGGCAAGAGGATGGGGACTTCGACTGAACTCCTCCCAGCCTCGTAGACACCTATGCAGCCTTCTCAAACTGGAGCCCCACTCCCGCAACTGTGGAGTCTGATGAACTAAGCACAACCCTTGCAAGCGGAGGTTTACCTAATCTCTCGCCTACATGATCAGTTTCAGAGACCGAAAAAATGACAGTCTACTTCAGAGCCCTTCTCACTGCTTTCTGCACTCACCGAGGGTTTAAGGAAAGCTCTAACGACACGCAGCGGTGGCTGGTTCTGCTGCACTTCCCCCTTCCCTGCCTGAATTCCAATCATCCATGTTCAGTCTGCACTGTGGAAACTGTGTATGAGGGTTTAAACCCATGAGGTTTTAACTGCATATTTAAAAGTCATGAGCTGAAAATACTTGAAAAGTTTAATGGAAGACTAAGAACGGCCAGATCTTTGCCAAGCTGATTTCTGAAGCCATCCAGCTGTTATCCCACGGCTGGAAAGATCCATTCTGTGCCATTACAAACAGACTTCTGGCCCACCCTGGCTCCCTGGGGACCCACATGTGAGTCACAGTGGGGTCCGGGTAGGATTAAAAGATTAAAGCAAGGGCCTTTTCAGTGACACACATGGGGAGGGGTGGCTGCGACCGGCTTTGCTTCTGATGCAAGCAAACGCTTCGTTTATCTTCCAGTATCATCCAGTGAACTTTTTTAACCATTGTTTTCAGGGAAATGTGACGACAGCCTTACTTTTAAGTTGCCTCTGTCCGTATTTTGGGCTCTTCTTGGGAGCACGTGCCTCTTGCTCAAGAGAGGGGAATGAGCCCCCACGGGCCCTGCTCACCTTCCGAGAATCTGCCCAGCAGCGCCCTTTCCTCCCAGGTGAAAGGGCAGGTACACAGCACATGCCAAAAGCTCCTGTCCCGCCTCTCCTGGCACATGTTCACTTCCCAGGCTGCCGTTCCAGCTTTAATCACGTGGAATTTACAACTGTGAGCCTCCCACAGCCCCATCCTTCTGGGTAAAAAACGGGGCACACATCCAATCAAGCAATCCATTTAGGGATGCTGTAAGGGTTCATCCAGCTTCTCAGATATGCTATATAATGATGCAAAGGCAGCTTTTCAGTGGTGACCTGAGAAGGCCCATTGAGGCCCATTCAAAGTCAAGACTGTCTCCTTTCTCCAGCAATATGTGCAGGAGCTGTCTTTCTGCCACCCAGCAGCTTCATCTGCCCTTATTCTCTTTCTATCCTGACACAACAGTGTATCCCGCACTGTTGTTGTTGTTGTTGTTGTTGTTGTTGTTAGTCACGAAGTCATGTCCGATCCATCGCGACCCCATGGACAACATTCCTCCAGGCCTTCCTGTCCTCCACCATCTCCCGGAGTTCACCTAAGCTCACACCAGCTGCTTCAGTGACTGCATCTAGCCACCTCATTCTCTGCCCCCACTTCTTCTTTTGCCATCTATTGTTCCCAACATTAGGCTCTTCTCCAGGGAGTCCTTCCTTCTCATTAGGTGGCCAAAGTATTTGAGTTTCATCTTCAGGATCTGGCCTTCTAAAGAGCAGTCAGGGTTGATCTCCTCTAGGACTGTCGGGTTTGATCTCCTTGCAGTCCAAGGGACTCGCAGGAATCTTCTCCAGCAGCACAATTCAAAGGCCTCAGTCCTTTGGTGCTCAGCCTTCCTTATGGTCCAGCTTTCACAGCCATACATTGCAACTGGGAAAACCATAGCCTTGACTATACGCACTTTTGTCAGCTGGGTGATGTCTCTGCTTTTTAGTATGCTGTCTAGATTTGCCATAGCTTTCCTCCCCAGGAGCAAGCGTCTTTCAATTTCTTGGCTGCAGTCCCCATCTGCGGTGATCTTGGAGCCCAGGAAAATAAAATCTGTCACTTCCTCCATTTCTTCCCCATCTATTTGCCAGGAAGTGAAAGAACCAGATACTATGATCTTAGTTTTCTTAATGTTGAGTTTCAAGCCAACTTTTGCGCTCTCCTCCTTCACCTGCATCAAGAGGCTCTTTAGTTCCTCTCCACTTCCTGCCATAAGAGTGGCATCATCTGCATATCTGAGATAGTTGATATTTCTCCCAGCAATCTTAATTCCAACTGGTGATTCATCCAGCCCCGCCTTTCTCATGATGTGCTCTGCATATAAGTTAAATAGGCAGGGCAACAGTATACAGCCTTGCCAAACGCCTTTCTCAATTTTGAACCAATCAGTGGTTCCGTGTCCAGTTCTCACTGTTGCTTCCTGACCCGCATATAGGTTTCTCAAGAGACAAATAAGATGGTCTGGTACTCCCATCTCTTTAAGAACTTGCCACAATTTGTTGTGATCCACACAATCGAAGGCTTTAGCACAGTCAATGAAGCAGAAGTAGATGTTTTTCTAGAACTCCCTAGCTTTCTCCATGATCCAGTGTATGTTGGCAATTTGATCTCTCATTCCTCTGTCTCTTCGAAATGCTGCCTGTACTTCTGGTAGTTCTCTGCTGCAGCCTAGCTTGTAGGATTTTGAGCATCACTTGGCTAGCATGTGAAATGAGTGCAATGGTGCGATAGTTTGAACATTCTTTGGCATTGCCCTTCTTTGGGATCGGAATGTAAACTGACCTTTTCCAATCCTGTGGCCACTGTTGAGTTTTCCAAATTTGCTGGAATACTGAGTGTAGCATGTTTACTGCATCGTCTTTTAAGATTTTGAGTAGCTCAGCTGGAATACTGTCACCTCCTTGTTGTTGCTCAGACTTCCTATTTATTTATTCATTTATTTTTCGATTAATATCCTGCCTTTTTCCTACAAAGGGCTCAAGGCAGCTCACATCATTCTCCTCCTCCATCTTATCCCCACAACAACAACCCTGTGAGGTAGGTTGGGCTGAATGTCTGTGACTGGCCCAAAGTCACCCAGTGGGCTCCATGGCCGAGGGGGACTAGAACCCAGGTCGTCTGAGTCCCAGTCCCAGCTCTTCACCACCGCGCCACACTGGCTCTAAGGCTCATTTGAGGTCACATTCCAGGATGTCCGGCTCAAGGTCAGTGACCACCCCATCATGCTTATCAGGGATGTTAAACTCTTTCTTGTATAGTTCTTCTGTGTAATCTTGCCACCTCTTCCTAATCTCTTCTGCTTCTGTTAGGTCCCTGCCCTTTTTGTCCTTTATCATGCCCATCTTCGCATGAAATGTTCCCTTCATATCTCCAATGTTCCTGAATAGATCTCTGGTCCTCCCTATTCTATTGTTTTCTTCTATTTCTTTGCACTGTTCATTTAAGAAGGCATTCTTATCTCTTCTAGCTATTCTCTGCAAATCTGCATTCAATTGGGTGTGTCTTTCTCTTTCTCCCTTGCCTTTCGCTTCCTTTCTTTCCTCAGCTATTTGTAAAGCTTCCTGAGACAGCCATTTTGCTTTCTTGCATTTCTTTTTCATTGGGACGGTTTTAGTTGCTACCTCTTGTACAATGTTGCGAACCTCTGTCCATAGTTTTTCAGGCACTCTGTCTATCAGATCTAAGTCCTTAAAACTATTTGTCACCTCTACTGTATATTCATCAGGGATATGATTTAGGTCATACCCGAGTGGCCTAGTGCTTTTCCCCACTTTCTTCAATTTAAGCCTAAATTTTGCAATGAGAAGCTCATGATCTGGGCCACAGTCAGCTCCTGGTCTAGTTTTTACTGACTGTACAGAGCTGCTCCATCTTTGGCTGCAGAGCACATACTCCATCTGATTGACTGTCTGGTGATGTCCATGTGTACAGCTGTCTCTTGGGTTGTTGGAAAAGAGTGTTTGCTAAGACCATCGTATTCTCTTGACAAAATTCTACCAGCCTGTGCCCTGCTTCACTCTGTACTCCAAGGCCAAACTTGCCTGTTATTCCAGTTATCTTTTGGCTTCCTACTTTAGCATTGCAATCCCCCATGATGGTAAGGACATCATTTTTGGGTGTTAATTCTAGAAGGTGTTGTAGGCCTTCATAGAACTGGTCAACTTCAGCCTCTTCAGCACCAGTGGTTGGGGCATAGGCTTGGACTTGGACTGCTGTGATGTTGAATGGTTTTCCTTGGATTCGAACTGAGATCATTCTGTCATTTTGGAGATTGTATGCCAGTACTGCTTTTCCTACCCTTTATTGACTATGAAGGCTACTCCATTTCTTCTGAGGGATTCTTGCCTGCAGTAGTATACCTGATGGTCATCTGAATTAAATTCACCCATTCCTGTCCATTTTAGTTCACTGATTCCTAAGATGTCGATGTTCAGTCTTGTCAGCTCATGTTTGACCACATCCAGCTTGCCTTGATTCATGGATCTTACATTCCTGGTTCCCATAGTGTATAGATCTTTACAGCATCGGACTCTCCTTTCACCACCAGATACATCAGCAACTGAGTCCTTTCAGCTTTGACCCAGTCGCTTCATTCTTTCGGGCGCTACTAGTACTAGCCCTCTGCTCTTCCCCAGTAGCATATTGGACACCTTCCGACCTGAATCGTTTTGCCCTTTAGAACTGTCCATGGGGTTTTCATGGCAAGGGCACTGGAGTGGGTTGCCATTTCCTTCTCCAGTGGCTCACGTTTTGTCAGAGCTCTCTGCTATGACCTGTCCGTCTTGGGTGGCCCTGCACGGCACAGCTCAGAGCTTCATTGAGCTGCGCAAGCCCCTTCGCCACGGCAAGGCAGTGATCCAGGAAGGATCCCTCCCTAAAAGGTGTGAATTGGAAAACCATTTCACATGCAGACGTGCTGTGTCCGCTTGTGCTCAGAGCTTGCACAGCCTGCCCTGGGCCGCCCTTGCCAAAGCAAATCAAGCGAAGGCAGAGTCTCCTGCCTGCCTGGGATCGCAGGGGCACCTCCTTGTTCCCGTTCCCACTTCAACAGCCAGACAAAGGGAGCCCTCGCCAGCCAACTGTGATGCCCAAGGAAACGCACCTTCCCTGCGGTTGCAGCAGTTTGGCTTTGCGGAAGAGACCGATGAGCCTGAGCTCTGCCACGACGGAGCCGCCGGGAGTGGAGCTGGGTCCCACTGGGGTGCCTGGCCAAGGCCAGGGCCCTCTTTGGAGCGTGTGCAGGGCCCCCGATCCAGCGGGGCCGACGTACCGCGTTGTGACAGAGGAGCCTGCACATCACTCCCCGCAGGGGACTGCCACCCTCACAGTGCGAAGTCAAGCTGCGGGTGCTCCCCCGCCCTCCTTGGGCCCTCGGAGCTCAGCCCAGAGGCAGGGGCTGCGTGGTGCCTGGGCCCCGGTGCCCTCCCGCACCCTGCGAGAGGCCCCCACCCCCGGAAGCCACCCCCGCGCGTTTACCTGAGCGGGACCCGGATGGCGATGATTCGATCGATCGCAATGGCCAGGAGGCTGAAGATGGAGCTCTGCGTCAGAACCAGGACGAAGCAAGCGATGAAGAGGCAGCCGTGGAAGAAAGCACAGAAGCCGGTGCTGATGGCGATGGCGAACGGGACCGCCAGCACCCCGACAGCGATGTCTGCCACAGCTAAGGAGACCACAAAGTAGTTGGTGGCATTCTGCAGGTTGCTGTTCAGGCAGACGGCCCAGCAGACCAGGACGTTGCCCAGCACGGCCAGGAGCGCGATGGCCAGCTCCAGCACCACGTAGACCACGTCCGCGGGGAAGCCGCCCTCCTCCCGCGCTTGCATGGCGCGGCCGGCCCGAGCGGCTCCCGGAAGCCCCCGCGTCCATGCCTGCAGGGCAGCAGGCAGCTGGCACACCCAGTGGGCTCGCCCCTCAGCGGGAGCAGGGCACGCAGGCGAGCTGGCAGGGGGCCGGGGCCGGGGCCATGCTCCAGACACGCGCAGGCTCCCCGCGGGCCTGCCGCACCGCAGCCTCCTGCACGCCCAGGCGGCCGAGCTCTTGGCGACGGTCACACTTCCCGCCGAAGCAGTGCAGTCCTCCAGCCGTTTCCTGCCTTCTTCACCACAACTCCCTGTGTGGCTTGTTCCTCGGGTCTCCTCTGAAGGGGGGACTGCAGGCCAGGATTCTCGGTTGCTGCTGGTACCCCCGTTTCTGCCTTGAAGGGGAGATGGGAGGGAGGAGCACATTTAGGTCATTCTCTCCCTAAAACCACCCCCAGAACTGCAGCAATCAAGCAAATGAGCCAGCAAACAGTCCTAGAGCAGCAGCCGGACAGGGTCATCGCACGGAAGCGGCTCAACCAGAAATGCGAAAGCTCAAACCACCACCTGAGTTTAAATTCAAATTCTGTGCCTTTCGAACATTCTCTGTTCACTTCATAGAAACATAGAAACAGAGCGAGTCAGAAGGGGCCTCCCGGGCCATCTAGTCTGACCTCCAGCACCAGCCGGCTCCACTCACAACATGCCCACCATGTGCACGTCCAGCCTATCCTTGAACACCAGCACCGATGGGGCCTCAACGACCTCCCGTGGAAGCCCATTCCACACCCTCGGGGTCCTAACTGCCAGGAAGTGCTTCTTGGCATCCAAATGGAACCTTGGCTCCCTGAGCTTTGCTCCGTTGGAGCATGTCCTGCCTTCTTCTGCAAGGGAGAACAGGTCTCTACCCATCTCCATGTGACATTCGTGCTCCATGAGGCCTCAAAAATGGAGGCCAGCGGGCGTGAGAGAACCCCTGCCAACTCTCTAAGTACTCTCGGGTGTAACCCGTCAGGGCCTGGCGTCTTTGTAATGTCCAATGCCCTGAGGAGCCCCTCAACTTCAAGGGGGGGTGACTCTAATCTGTGCCCCTAAGTCCCCAGCCTCATCTAATCTCCTATGCGGATATCCCCCGTCCTGCTTTGGGGAGAACACAGAGGCAAAATAGTCATTTAGCATCTGTGCCTGTTCCCTCATATCAGTCACTGGATCTCCTTCCTCCTTATTTAGTGGTCCCACCACTTGTCTCCCCTTCCTCTTCCTATTTACATGCTGAAAGAAGCCCTTTTTGTTGCTCTTGATATTCCTGGCAAGTCTCAGCTCGTAATCAGCCTTAGCCTTGCAAAGAATCCTTCTGCAATGGGCCTCCTCCTCCCGGTATACCCTTTTGTCTATTTCCCCCAGTACCCATTTCCTACGGAGGTTCCTCTTTCGTCTAATCCCTCTAACCACCTCCTTTCTCATCCATGGTGGCACACTCCTCCGCCTCCCCACCTTACTGACTAGAGGTATCGTCAAGGCTTGTGCCTCCAAAACCTCCCTTTTGAGTGCCATCCACCCCTCCTCAACTCACTTACCTTCCAGTAACCTATCCCAGAAGACTTTCCCCAGTCTGGCCTTCAGTTGGCCAAAGTTGGCCCTCTTGAAGTCCCAGCTTCTAGTGCTCGACCTGCTGCACGTCCCCATTCCTCTGATCTCAAAGCAAAGGATGGAGTGATCACTCGCATCCGGAGCTCCCCAATCTGTACCCCATCTATCAGCTCCTCCCTGTGGGTCAAGACCAAGTCAAGGGTGTTTCTCCCCCTCGTCGCCTCTCGGACCCTGTGTGAAAAACCTTCCCTCTATAGCTTCTAGGAAGTGATGTGACCTGGCTGTCACCGCCGAGTGAGTCTCCCAACTATTATCTGGGAAACTGAAATCTCCCTTAATTACTGTGTCTCTCCCCCAAGATATCCTGAGAATCTGGCCTGTCAGGACACCATCCAGAGTCTCAAGTTTACCTGGAGGGCGATAACATACCCCCACTGTCAGGTCTCTTTCCCTGTCAAGTTTCACCCAGACTGCCTCTACTGAATCCCCATCTGTGCTGCATTCTATCTCACTGCATCTTATCCCTTCCCTGATGTATAAAGCCACGCCCCAACCTCTCTTTCCCTTCCTGTCTTTTCTAAAAAGGTGATACCCCTCTATGTTCACAGAGGGGTATGACTTGCCTTTCATTCCACCAAGTTTCTGTGATTCCCACCAGGTCATACCCTCCTATTCCCAGGAGAGCTTCAAGCTCTTCCTGCTGATTACCTGCTTCACTGATGCCAATACCGCCGGCTGTAAAATCTTCCTGGCCTGCTAGTCACAAGCAACAGCCTTGACTGGATGCAGAGAGCTGAGGCCTCTCGCCTCGCTCCCGGGCATCTTGTCCAGCCACAGACATGAAGCGACGGGAAGGCGGCTGCCTGGTCGCAGGCGGAGGTGGCCAGGGTCTTCCACCAGCCAGATCCTGCAGGCTTTCGGCAATCATGGGAACTGCACCAGCCTCTGTTTGCATCCCACTGGAGGAGTCTGAAGCTCCCCGGTTCTGTCCCCACTGCCTCAGCGGTTATTATGAAAGGATACGAGGAAAGCAGTGGTGGGAGACAAAGAGAGAGACAAAAGCGAGAGCTTTTTCCTCAGGTTGGGAGAAGGGGAAGGAAACAGACCCCTCCCCCCCTTTCTGCCCTAATCTCCACCCCTGCGTGTCTCCATCTTTCTGTCCTGCAGGCTTACCTGTACGGCTATTGCATGACTATTGTCTCCTCAGCATTGCTTGTCCGTTTTTGTTTGACAAAGCCAGGTCACTTCTCCTGCTAGTTTGTCACTCTGTTGCTCATTTCCTGCAACCCCTTTGGAATATCTCAGTGTTATCAACCTGCGCATAACACTTCTGTGTGTTTACATGGTTTCTAAGTTCTCCTCAGTTAGCAAAAGAGTGAGAGTAAGTTGATCAGTTTGGAGCAAAGCAAACTGGAGCGCAAACTGGAATCAGGCAGGAGTCAACTTGGTCCCTCCAGGGGGGCGGGGGCACCTGAACAGCCACCTTCCCACTCTTGGCCTCTCTGCCTGCCACACAATAGCTGGTCCACATGTCCGGCTGGTCCACCAGGGCTCGGACACCACCTGCCTCCCTGGCCTGGCTGAGCCCAGCTCGAGGCTGCCCTGCTCTTCCTGAGTCGGCAAGACTCGGGGGACAAAACAGGCCTGGGGGAGCCCAAAGGCCTGTGGAGTCACTTGGCTGCTCCACCCCCCTACCAGCTCGCCCCGCTGCTTCCCATGGGGAAACCTGTGCACACCTGGCCTCCTCTGGAGAAGATCCCGGAGAACATGGCTTCCCTCCCTGAGCTGGATGCACTGGCTGAGGGCCCGGCACTCCGCAAGGGCAGGGGAACATCATACCAGCATGGCGGGCCATGCGGCACACTCCCTGCAGAGCACGGCTCACCCTGTCGCTCTGGTCCCGGGAAAGAAGCTGCTTCCACTCGGCTCGCCTGCAGCTTCCCTTCCAATGCCAGCAGGAGGACGAGGTGCCTTGGGCCCTCTGCTGGAGAGGCCACTGGTGGCTCCTGGCCAGCCAGCCGGCCGGCCAAGCAGCATAAGCTTCTGCCCAGGTGCCCTGCCCTGTCCCGGAGCCTGGCCTGGCTAGGGGAGCCCTGGCTCAACGGAGGCGCGTGGCTCCTGTGCTCCAGGAGCGGTGCGCAGCATGGCTGGTCCCTCCTCAGGCAGAGCCGAGCAGCCCGCCTGGGCTGGAGCGGCTGTGGGGCTGCGGAGAAGCAGCGGCCAGGCACCTCTTCCGGCTGGAGTCTTCTGGGGGCTGTGAGGAGCCGCCTGCAGTGGGGCCTCAAGAGGGCTGGGGCACCGCTTCCTCAAGGAAGGCTCCGCTTCTGCCCCTGGTTGCCAGTCCCTGCAGGCCATGCCAGGCTGGAGGGCCAAGGGCCCGGCAGCAGAAGCGGCGCCAAACGGCCCTGGAATGCCTTGGCATCCCCCACAGCCCCGAGTGCAGAGCCAGGGGTGGGGCAGCCCCCTCAACCCCACGCCTGGCCCCTTGCCAGGCCCCTTGCCAAGTCTTCGGGTGCTAGAGGAGCCGCGTGATACTCTGGAGGCAGCCACAGCCAGGCCTCAGCGGAAGCAATGGAGACCCGAGACAGTGGCGAGGCGCCCAGCCAAAACCTGCTCTCAGGGAGGCAATCTAATCTGGGGGCTTTCGGCTAATCCTTCTGGGGCAAGGGGAGTGGCAGTAGCCAAGGACCGGCCGGGCAGGGCTGCCTCCGCATTCTGCCTGCACAGGAAGACGGCAGCCCCGGAGGCGGAGGGCCCTGCTCAGCAGCCCCCTGCTGAGGACAAGAGAGGCCCCTGGGGAGCCTGGCCAGGCCAGGAGGCCCGGCTGCAGCGATCCAGGAATCCAGTGAGGGGCTTCTCATGCCAGTGCTGCCAGTGGTCCCTGGCAGGGCTGGGCTACCTCCTCCCCAAAGGGCCAGGCAGCACGGTGCTTTCTCACTGCAGCAATCCATCCGGCACAGCAAAGCCCACCGGGAAAGGCAGGCAGCATCTCCGGTAGAGGCAGTGGGTCAAAGCACAGTGCCCCACCTTTCGGGTGGGGGGGCAGCTGGGTGTGCAGGGGGAGAAGCAGAGCCAGCTAGCAGGGGGCAGCCGTGGGTGGGTGTGCCTGGGGCTCTGCTCAGGGCCACATTTCTTGCAGTGCAGCTGAGCGGTGACCCTGCCAGAGCAACAAGCTCCTTGGCTCCCGTGCTGGAAGCCCATCTTCTCCACTGCCGCTCTCATGCCAGCTTCTGTGCGCCTGCCGCTCCCGGGCCGCCCCTCGCCCTCAGCATGGACTGTTCCACCGCGCCTCTCGGCCTGGACCACCACTCCGGACTGCAGTGTCCCTCCGAGGACGGGCAGAGAGGGGCCTGCAGCCTCCTCTGGGCCGCTTTCTGGCCTTGCATCGCTTGGAACGCCCTGCAGCTCCTCCAGGTCCGTCAGGCAGCCCCCTT